TGAGGCGGCTTATCACGCCTATTTATACTGGGACAATATAATGTGTCTACAGGCCAGGCAATGAGTGAGGATAAATACTACACCAAAAGACGTTTCAGGTCTTCACAAACAGTAAAAGACAAATTTGAGTTACACACAGATTACGGACAACTATAAAAACTTAATGTATTTAATTTACAAAGAGAGAATGTATCTAAAAATGCCACTGAACACTTATAATAGTTTTTCACTAGTGTGTGCCTTGGGCTGGCCCTGTCACAGTGTTTTCCGGGGGCATTTTATGATGTTCCACATAACTTATCCAGGGCAATTCTATTAAACATTTCTACTGACTTGTTGCATGCAGCATCTTTAAAAAAATAATGGGGTTGATTTACTAAAACTGGGGGCAGTGGCTTTGTCCATTCAGCCACTGAATCCCAATTAACATGAATGGAACTGCCTGTATTGGGATGTACAAAACACCTCTGCATCCCCAAACGCGCAAACACAGCCCTAGCACGGGTGTACGGTATAGTACCCCTGTGTGAACAAGGCCTTTTACAGAATATGGCAAAGGAACAGTTCATCTGGCAGAAGTGTTGTAATTCATATAACTACTATCAGGCAGCACAGCCAGGAGGGTGACACTACTCTCTCTGATTTAAGTTAATATAGCGGTGTCAACTCCCTTCCCTCACCCAATCGGAGTGCTGCTGTACAGGGGATGACAGAAGGCTGATATAGGGACAAATTCAGATATGTGTGCTTGCTGTATGTAAAAATGCATGCCATTATTTTTAAAAGAAGTATTCTACTGCATTAAATAGTATTTTTCATCTTTCACTGGGTTCAGGGTTAAAGATTGCTTTTTTTTAAAAAAAAAAAATGAAAATGGCCTCAGCAGTATAGGGTATTTTATATTGGTGCTAGTATTAATAAGAAATATTGTCCTGTTACTGGAGGATGTAAAAAGTCCCCAAAACACACTGTGACAAACCCAAGCATAGCTGAAGTCTCTTCCTAAAATTGCTAGTTCCATGGCTGTCATGCAGAGACTCTGATTTACTACTTTGGGCCAATAACCTGTAACAAGTATACAGAAACGGACATTGCATTGTCTCAATCTGCACACTTATTCCAGATCAGTGGCTCAATGTATTGAACCTAATGGGTCACATAACAGCCAGGAACCTCTCATTTTCAGAAGGAAATGGTAGCAATCTTTTCCACACGTCAGATTTACTTTAAAGTGTATGTAAAGGCAAAACTTTATTTATATTGGATGGAGTGCAGAAGGATGCTTTTTCATTGCAGTTTTTGTCCTCACTGGGGAGATTATCCATCCAATTATTTGTCCTGGTGACCATTGTCATGAAGACAGAAAGTAAAGGGAAGTCTTAAATTAATTGTCTTTCGAGGAAGACTCAGCCCAAATGTTCTGGTGAAAACTGTCTAAAAGAATACCCTTCACACTGGGGAGATTTACCCTCTTATTCCGTTCATTCTCTAAGACAGAAAGTGAAGTGCACCTTTTTCATTCAAAACTAAACAAATAAACATTTTTGACTATTCATACACTTTAATGAGTTTAACTTTCTGGTCAGACAGGGAGGGTGCAGAAATATGTCTGACCCAACATAAAATCGCAGGAATGCAAATGTGGCACCAGATGTGTACTTAAAAAACTAAAATTAAATCTTGTCAGTTGCGTTTTCATCAAAAAATGTAAAATTGTGAGCTATATATTTCACACTTACTGCTAAAAATATGACAATAACCCATTATTCGCTTTCTATGTAAAACTCTATACATGTCGCATAGAAAACAAAAATGATCTATAGATGGAAACATTTAACTTACCATCTCTGGTTGTGCAATTCAGCAAGATCAGTAATTATATACAGTTATTCAACAATCTATTAAAAAATTAGAAACGAAGACTTGGAGGAAGAGTCATTAGGCACCATCACTGCAAAACTGCAGCTGCACTGAAATTCCTAAATAATATCATCCTTCCTCTGCTGGAATTACTCCATGTGTTTTTCACTGTTAATTCTTCAAATACAATAAAAACAGTGGCAGAGAATGCAGAGAGGAGCATAATATTCCTGAAGAAACTTCAATGAAGTGGATTGTCATGCTGAAGCTGGGGAGATGAGCATCATGTTGTGGCATTATAAATTATATACATTTAAACTATGGAGGATCTTTGATTGATGAGCTCAAGAAGGCAATTTCTTGTATCATCTGATGAAAGTCATGTAAGCCAATTCCTGTACTTAAATCATTAACTACAGGCTTGGGTAAAGTTTTTGAACATATTTCATAACAGTTAGCAGACTTGCTGACATAAGTATTTTCCACGCTGTTCATTTTCCATCAAATAACTGTGTGTTAATGTAAGGAAAAATAAGACTTAAGGAGTTCTTTGCATTCTTTAGCAAAACAATAAACTGTACTAAGCTTCAAAAGTACAAAAGATGCTGACAGTGTCATTGGTTTTTCTGTATTATTTTCCAGCAACGTTTTCCAATATCATATGCTGAAGAGGAGCAACAGAGCAATAGTTTAGTATGAAGGATTACTTCTAAAGGCAGAGCAAAATGTACAGATGATGAATACAGTGAAGTAACTAATAGCAACCAATTAGCTTTAAGTTTATTTTAAAGTTTACTAAAACGTGTAAGTGGATTTCTGTTTTCATATGTCTCAAGGACTGCTAATGTACATCTATTATTTTTCTAGTGATTATGTCCTAAAAAAAAAAAGCAATGGTTATTTACTAATTAACAGAACTGCCTTTGTTCTATATATTATGATACATTATTTGCAAGCTCCACAAGCTTTTATACACAGTTGCTGTAAATGGGAAGCATCTTATATGCGAAGGAGTTGGAAAACAGCACTTTTGACTAATATTTATGCATTTGTACTTGTTCAAAAGCTTCTGGAAATATACAACTGGTTACTTTTCCAAAAATAAAAAAGAAGCCTCTGGAATACAAGTGAGTGGGGTAATATGTACAAAATGTGTATATGAACATTGCTGTTTGCTGTTCATTCCAGTACACATGAAGCACAACATAATGCACCTGAATTATAGTTCACCACAATACATAGATGTGAACATTGTGCACTGTGGTGTGCTGCAAGGGAAACAAACAATTAAGGTGCATTTTTAACATTGATACAGTGTCTTAAAGTGGTTGTAAACCTTAGTCAGGTAATCTGAACAAAGCACATATCTGTAGTATTTTGTTTGTCTCTCTCTAATGTGTCATTTTTCTCTGATGCTTCAGCATGTGTCAATTCTGAAAAGTTTTTTTCCTGACGCCCATGATAAAATTGTGATGAAAGGGAGCTCAGCACACAGATTATCTCTGGATGGAGCTTTTTTTTCCTTTCCTCCAATCAGCTCTCACACAGTTTACAAGAACTCTAACTGCAGCTCCCTGCCCCCCTCCTCTGTGATGCTAAAAGACTAGGGCTCCATACACAGTAGTGTTTTTTATAAGCTCAAAAAATGCTAGAAAAAAAAACTCTGGATGAAAAAAGCTGATAACAGAATTTGTGTGCCAGCTTGTAGTAGAGTTTTAGAAGCAGTTAGGTGCTTTTTAGGAGTGTTAGTGTTTTATTAGAGTTTGTACAGTACAGGAAGAAAAAAAAAAACCAAGCTGTTAGGGGCATTTAATAGCATTTTAAACCGTTTAGGAGCATTCAATGTTTTCTTTCTGGTGTAAAAACGCTCCCAAAAACTCTACAAAAATGATTCTTATTTCTGCTCCTAAAAACTGAAGCTTAAAAAACACTTCTAGCAGAAAAAAGCATGCATGGACAGATAGGATAACACTACTGGCTTCTAGGAGCAGAATAAAAATGCTCATAATAGCTTCTAGGAGCTTAAAAATCACCTAAGAAGGATTTTATCTAAATCCAGCCCTTTGAACAGATGTAGAAAAGAGAAGACTGCAGATAAACAAGTAAAACTTTTGTAGGAGGATTTGTTTCATCTATGTGTATCATATGAGACCAGTCACTTCACTGGGGGTATATGTAAGGGTTTACAACCACTTTAGCTGCCGATTCAAGATGAATGGGCTGTCCTAACACAACACGTTAGCACCTGTCCACTAATTCACTGCAATAATGTTAATCCAGCTTAAAATATGTTCTCCTTGAAGATTGATCCTAAATTCAGCTCAGTGCAGAGTAGGTCTTCCATCTTCAAATAGAACCCACTAGTGGTTGTGAGGACAGCCTGTTTACAGCATAGATAGATACAGAGATAGTGCAAGCTATGCTGCTGGAAACAATCTTTAGTAAAAAGAAAACGCATCATACTGATATTAATGTTACTGGCTTTAGGGCAACTACAAAAGCATAATGTTGATGTTGAACAGTTACACTTTAAAAGTGCACATATGACTTATATAGAGCTATGTTCCCTGGATGGTGTTTCGTTATACAATCCATGTATCATAATGATATTAGAGGCTGCTTTGCTATTTTAAGCTTTAGGAATGCATCATATGTACATTATTTCTCATGAATGTTCCACCAAAATAAGTGTGGGAAGGACCCCTGTGTGCATTGTACTGAGGCCAAATGAACATATATACTGTATATCCTTCAAATGTGGCCACAATATTTGTACCAAAGTGGGAATACATTGCCTGGAAAATGCCCTATCACATAACTGCACAGGTACCCTAATGTAGCTCTCATCTTCAATGCCTGTCAAGATCTTTGACCTTTTCCTACTTTCACCTCTTGCGCTTTGTTTTTTCTTTTTGTATTTACTGGAAAATACTACTATACATTAGAAATGGAAAATTGCACTGCTTAGTGCAATAGTGATTAGAAAAATAGAGTAAATGACAATCATGGCAACCAATCAAGTTTCAGTCAAGATTCTAAGGGATTTGTGCAACTCAATCCACTTTGAACTAGGCAATTGAATATGTCTACCTGAAAATCTGATGATTTTCTCAGATTTTTATAATGTCAAGGGTACTCACAGTAAATTCCCCCCCCGTCACAGCATCAAAGCCGACATGAATAGTGTGCTCAAAATCTGAAGGAAGGGAGATTTCCGGACGTTCCTTTTCTTTCTTCTTGTTGGCTGGGGTCAAAGTTATACAAAGTTAGTTAAAATTGCACTTGTACTATGCACACATATCATTTGAATTTGTTTTTTAAATAAAGAGTTCCTAATCTTTGGAGAAAATTCTTAAGTGTAGTGACCCATAACAAGCAAGCAATATACATTCTGTACCGTTCTTACTTCAGGAAAATGAATTTTGATTGGTCACTATGAGTTATAGTACTTTAGATCTAGCACTTAAGAATAAGACTTGTAATGAAATAAGATCCGCAATGGGGTGGATTTCTTAAAGGCAAACAGACTACTGTGCATGTTGGAAGTACAGTTGCACTAATTTTCCCCAGAGCTTAGTAAATATGGTTTCACTTTGTAAAAAATATCCAGTCAGGTGCAAGGGAAAAAACAAACAAAAAAACAAAACAAACATACAAAAACAGCATTTTAATTTGCACATGACTGGATGATGGAAATCAGAAGAGCTTTATCAATTTACTAAACTATATAAACTATTTGTCTTTAGTAAAGCAACCCATTGTATTGTTCAATCTTGTATCCAAAACCTTAATAAATGTTTGCCTGTAAAATATTTCTAAAGCACAAAGGAGCAGGAGCAAATTAAACTATGAGGTCTAATGCAAATAATAAATGTGGGCCCTTCTACATCCCTGACATAAAATCTAGTGACAGTTCAAACAGCTTACAGTCAGACCAAACCTCATTCCATCCTCCGTGGAAGAATGTCACCAGCACACCACAGAATCCTCAAAAGGGTCCAAACCTTTATTTAGTGGTCACATAATCAGGCAGACTGACGAAGGGGCCCTGTGTGCCTCTGAAACGTTACCCCTGTATATATTATGTGACCACTAAATAAAGCTTTGGACCATTCTGAGGATTCCTTGGTGTGCTGGTGACTTTATTCCACTTGGATTGTCTGTGGTTCCCAGCCCATGGTCACTGCAGCACCCAATACTACTAAACAGCCATTTACAGGAATGTGTGCGTTGGGAAAACTAGGTTTGGATCTCATTCCATCCTCCAGACAGATTCTGATCAGAAGAGAAGACTAGATACCAGAACAGTCTCCAGGCAGTAGAGCATACTACTGTCGCAGGAAAACAAAGCTCTTCTAATACCAGTACTCTTAAAAGTCTACTCTAACAGACCTGCACTTGATAGCTGCAACAAGTAAAGGTGAATTATTTATATGTAATATAGCATATTTATTTGACTGGAAAGAAAAAAAAAATAAACGTTAAATTTAATATTAAAGTTTGTCATAAAAAAAACAATTAATTCTAAAAGAAGCTCACATATACAACCTTCAACAAGTTCATTTTTTGTGGTTGCTGCAGCTTTAAGGACAGTTCTAAATTCTGGGAACACTGACTTCACCACCCTGCTCCCCAGTGATCCGTAAATAACCCCCAGTGTGGTTGGAAAGACAATTCCAAGTCTATTTCCTCTGGGTTCCATGCAGTCCCTTGGCACGTGCAGGCAGACTGAAATATAAGCTTTTCTAATGAAAAGCAGCCCAGTAACATAACGCTTAATGGCAGATACCCCAAATTGCTAAAACATGTGGGTATGATTTACAAGATAACAAGTAACACTAAGAATACTGTGTTTCATTGCTTAGTCTGGAGCGATCAATGTTGAAGGCATTTCCTCTCTCAGAGTCTGTTCCACATCATGGTAATTAAAGGTGCAGTCCCAGCCACTCAATTGAAAATAGATTTAAGACTTTCCCTTTTCAATCTATGTGTGCTTCATTTCTTCAATTCTCCTGAACATAATTTATCCTACTTTTTTGACCTCATACATTTTTCAGAATATGCTATACATTTTTTTGCCTGGTCAGAATGAGAATATGGACATTTCATGTGTATGTATAAAAATGCGTTCTATTTGAGAAAATTAACATTGGTTAGGTGAATTAAGGTGTGTGTGAAAGAAATGCACATATATTCAAGTACAGTGATATTCAACCTAGTTGTGTTCTAAAAGGTATTGATATCAGACCTCCAGGCACCCTCACTGGGAATTAAAGTTGGCCATACATGGACTGCAACTGAGCCAATTCAGCAGGTAATGGCTGAATTTCGAACCATGTATGGGCACCCTGGTTGTACAAAAGTTGGATGATATGCCTTCAATGTACCCCCAAATCCACCTGACTAGTTTCAGTGTTTTAATAATTAAAGAGCAGACAAGCATTGCTTAACCTACAACTTTCTGTTGAAACTTCCATTGCAGGGGATGCCTGTAATTTTACTAAAACCTTTGTGCAGAATTTTAGGAAATGGTGGCTCCCGTTTAAGTGAATAGAAAATTAAATTTCTGAGGATGTTCCATACACAAACAGTATACAGAGCTCCCTCAGTTACCATGGATGCAAGAAAGCCACAACTGAATGTTCTGAAGTATCAGAAAATCATAGTGGGCTGCAGACTAAAATGAAATACTTATTTTTAATAATATTGAAATACAAAATAGCTTATGTAGCAACCATATCTACATGTACAAGTCTCTTGTGTATCCTAGATACAGGTATATCTATTTTCAGAATAGACAACAGGCTTAAAGTACCCTGAACTTGATAGAAATAAAGGAGGGAGATGCGATTGCCAACTTCCTTCAGAGAATGCTAGTTGCTTTGCCATCATGCTGATGTTCTGGCTTTAGTTATTTCTGAGTGGCTGTCCTGGGACAAGTATGCAGTTGAGGAGTTCAGACTTTACTTTCAGCCTTTTTTCAGAGACTGTCAATCTGCTAAACCATGTTGAGGGCAGTCCAGACCTGCTTCCATGCAGAATTAGGTAAAACATTTTCTGCACTCATGCAGATTTACTTCTTATATATCAGCTGTAAAGGTACAGAGGATTAGTTGAGCTCTGAAGCCTCTGAAGTGAAAATGTCACTATTTCTGACCTGTAACTGCTTTGGATTTTTGTCTTGGTGGTGTTGTATATTGCGAGTCACAAAATATACTACTTACCAAGACATAAAATAAATGCACCTTAAAAATTAAACCTACTTTGTACCCCAAAGTACGTCAAGTACACTGACCACCACTGTTTCCTATACTCATAAGTGATGCCACTGTTGGTTGCATCACGTACAAATATCAAGTCTTTTGAGGCTTGTTTACATTTGTGGTTGGGGGTCATAAAAACAGGCTGTTGAGTCACGTTTTTACCACCATCCCCCTTAAGTGCACAGGCAGCAAGACAGGGATATACATATGCCCAGGCCATGACACTTTGCTTTGTGGCTGTGGCAGAAATGATCCCCTCTATTGCATTCAACAGGCAGTACTGCCACCATTGAACTAAATGTGATGCATGCTGTTGTGGCGTAGTTGTGCAGCACTTACTGGGTTAAAATGCACAGTTAAGCTCCGTTGTTTTCACTCCCCAATTGCTTCCTCTTAAGCTGCAAAGGCAGCAGATGGGGGTGTATATGTGTCACAGCCACAATGCTTTGCAATGTCACAAAGTATCATTTGCTGTTGCATTCAGCAGGCAGTATCACCCATTGAATAAATAAATAATTTGCGCTAGTAAATGTGTATAAATATATAAATATATATAAAGAAATCATCAAATCATAAGTCCAGAAAAAAATATATATATGCCAATACCACAAAAAAATATATAAAAAAACTTTTACGTGAGGACGTTGATGATGAAACGCGTAGGGCGGAGCTTGATTGATGTGACGTCATTACGTTTTTGGCTGCCAGCTACTGCGCATGTGCTGAGTAGCCAGGCTCGTTTATGTGATTGCTGTTATGCTGTTGATGCGTTTTTGGTGTCGGCTGGGACAGGCTCTTGAGTAAGTGCAATGAGTACCTAATAAAGGAATTGGTTTTTTATAATATTGCACCACGAAGTCTTTCTGTTTCTCTCGAGTGTTTGGCATTTCCCCCCATGGATACGTTTGAAGGTGGTCCTTTATCTATTGGAGAAGTGGATTTTCGATTAACTACAAAGTTTTTTATCCTGTTATTTCGATCGATGAGGATCGGTGTGTTGCAGAGTTTCCGTTTCTGAAGATATATTTATGGATGATCTGCCATTATATTATCAAGGTTTTTTGGTGAAATTTTTCATATTTAGACACTTTTTTTGCTCAAAAGTTTTTTGCACTTAAAAGTTTTTTTATATATTTTTTTGTGGTATTGGCATATATATATTTTTTTCTGGACTTATGATTTGATGATTTCTTTTATATATTTATTTATACATTTACACATTTACTAGCGCAAATTATTTATTTATTGGTACACTTTATATATGGTGATTTTTTGCAGCTGGTACACTATTAGTAAGTTATATAATTTTGACCATAGGCGCTATTATTATTTTTTTCTTATCACCCATTGAATGCAAACAATTTACCGCCCTGCGATGTGCTGGTGTGAAGCTTAAGGAGTTGAAACAGGTGTAATATCGCCCCCCTCACCGCCTTTCAAATGTCCTCTAAGGAGCAATGCAATGTGCATTACTCTTCAGAGGGCACCGCATGTGCAAACTATACCCTAGTCCAGGGGTGGCAACTGTGGCCCTCCAGCTGTTGTAGAAGTACAAGTCCCATGAGGCATTGCAAAACTGACAGTTACATGACTCCCAAAGGCAGAGGCATAATGGGACTTGTAGTTCACCAACAGCTGAAGGGCCACAGTTGCCCACCCCTGGCCTAGTCCTATATTTTATTGCCAATTTCAAAAATGCCTATGGCTCCTGAAAAGTTCATGATGGCTCCTAAAACTGAGTAATGTGATTGAGCTATCAAAAATTTCCTGTGAAATTTTAGCCTAGTGGGGGACTGCTAGCAAGTACTTAAAGCGTTACTAAACCTACAACAGTAAAATCAGTCTGTATATGCAGTAAAGCATGCTTGTTATACTCACTGTGGAACCTAAGGGTTTAATTCTCCACATTGTGCAAAAAGGCTCTTTGATCCTGTCTTTTCTCTGATCCTCCCCTTCTTATACTGTCCCCAATTCACCTGCCATAGTACACAGTAGCAGTTGCAAGTCTGCACATGCTCTGTTTTGGTGTGTATTGCTAGAGAGTTTTTTTTCCCTTTTTTTTTGGGAGAGTGCATGTGATCGGCACAGGGCTAATCACCACTGTTCAGACAGAGTCAGGGTCATGCAGCCTCACAGGGCAGCAAGAGGAGTATGAAAACTCCTACAAGATTGACCAGTGCTCAGTCGGACACTGAAAGAAGTCACAAGACTGCTATATACTGCTGAACAGACATTTAGCATTATTTACTAAAATAATTGCATTTCATGTACTGTGGAAGACTAGACATAGTGAATGCAGGGTCATGGGTTTAGTAACACTTTAAATCTCTCATCAATAAGAGATTAAAATTGCCTGTGTAGCTTAGCCCTTATTGTGCATGTGGTTTTTGTGAAATTCAGCTACAGACCTTTACAGAAGTGTCACAGTCGGCTGGTTAGGATTGCAGGTGCAAGAGTCACAATTACACAAACCTGTCACATGAATCTTGCTAATTGAGAGGCAGAATGTTTTGCAATAAATATTCATCCAATTCTGTCCTTGATTTGCCGGATAAATGTCCTAATATTTGTCATGGTGCCCAATTTAAACCACAGGATCCTACTATCATGTAGACAACTAGAAAGCAATTTCATCCAGTAACATCAAAGAACATGGCACACAGGACATAATGCCTTGTCTAATGTCATACACTGATACTTTACTTTTATCCCCTCCTCCTGGGAAGATGGAGCGCAGCCTGGCTTTCTTGTTCTTCTCTTCGGGTGCCATGGGTAGTGGTTTTGAGCAGTGATTTAATGCTGAAGAATCACGGTTATTACTGTTCATTCTAAGAGGGGGGGCTGGAGGTTTCTCTTCAATATCCACACTATCGGACATCTTCAGTAGTCCTCACAGCCTTCTGTCAAATAAAAATAAAAAAAGAGGATTGAGTTTACAGCTAACATAACGCAAAACAGGTGTACATAAATACTACAGTGCGTTTTACATAAATCATCATAAAATGTCTTGGTAAATTATATCCTTAGAAAAAAAAGCAGCAGGCTTACTTTAATCCCTGCTCCCCAGCAGCATTCCCTTGTCTTTTATTTGCTTCCCTTCTGCTCCATTCAGCTCCAGGAGCCAAAGGAAATACTAGTTACCTCTGGGTATAGAGAAGCATGTCACTCACTCTATATGACAGCAGACTGACACCTGAAAAATACACAGGCGCATGCAGTGTGGACTCACCTTGTGGGTTTTGCATGTTGACTTCATGAGACAGCACCGACAAATCAGCTCTGTCACATGGGGAGCCCTTAGTCCTGTGTAAGCTACTACTCCGGCAACGTGTAGCTTACACAGGGCTACATGGCAGTAAAAGGAAGGTAGATACAGCTGGTAACATAAGTATTGAATACGTCACCATTTTTCTCAGTAAATAGATTTCTTAATTTGCACTGACAAGGGTCAGGATTGCTTTCTAATTACTGATCGATTTCAGCTGGTGTCTTGGCTTTCCATGCCTTTTAGCACCTCCCTTTCTTTATGTGTTCAATACTTTTTCCCTGTGTCATTCCATTTTATTACACAACTTCATTTCTGAACTTATTTTTATTTTTGTTTCTTAGTATGTATGGATTGCATGGGTTGTTACGGACATGTGATGAAAATTTCATGTCAATGTCACCTTTAGAAATATATTTACTAAGAAAAATGGTGACTTGTTCAATACTTAATTTTACCCGCTGTATATGCTGCCTGAGAGGACTGTGTTAAGGTGGACCCACTCCTTTTACCTGCGTATTCACTTTATAACACTTTGTTATGAGAGAAATCGAGGGGAAGCCATTGCTGCCCTCCAAGCCCTCAAAAAATGCTAATTGCCTGTCTATTCGGCTAACGCACTGGGTTTGCTACACTTTATCAAGAAGGTCAGAAGTCCTTATCTGCATACTTGTTCTGAAACAGTGACCTAAAATGTTAACGTAAGAATGTCAGTATGACATCCAGGCAACTAACATTTTCAAGAAGAGAGGTCAGCAAAGGCAGCCACATTATTCCTTTTAGGTCTATTTTTTTTATAATTCTCTATTTATCAGTTTTCACATCATACAGGGATTAATGGGGACTACAGGCTCCCACAAACAACAAGCAGCATGGGCAAGGAGCATGGTACACATACAGAAATAAAGTCAACAGTAGAATCACTGCAGATAGACCAGCAGATATAAAGTCTATCAAAACAGTAGCTGTATAGCTCCTTTTGCCCATGGGCCCCTGATGAGCTTAAATCTCATATACATTTTTTCAGTACAAGCAGAAAGAGATTAAAAGAAAGAAAGGAAGGAAAAGTAAAAATGAGGAGCAGAGGAAAAAAAAAAAAAAAGTGCGCTGCTTGTTAAGAGCTGGCTCAAGAAAGTCTGATGGGGTCAAAGGCATCACCTGGCAAGGAACAGGCAAGGGCGTCCAGTAAAACCATGTTTTACAAACCCGTTCCTCTCTATGGTGTGCTGCAGTCATGAGATCTTCCATTAGTTGAACTTCATTGATCTTGGCAAACCAAGTCTGCCAAGAAAGGGGTGTGGTTTGTTTCCAGACACCTGCATTTGCAGCGTTCAGCAAACAAGAGGGAATGCTTGTCAAGTTTCAAGGACATGGGGGTTTTTTTTTTTTTTTTCAAGGTAATGAATAGTCTTTTATGTCAAGTTTTATTTAGCCACATTGGCACTAGAGCAACCTTTTAATTTTTTGGTACACATATAAAAATCTGCATTTTTGGATTTAAAAATACTTAAAATTCACAATACAATATATCTTTTCTGAAAGCAGAGGACCTGTAGAATAAGAGGATGGTACGCGATCGTTGCGTAACAATTTTCTAAATGCATGTTTTTAGGAAAAAGTATAATAAAATTAATTTTAGTGCAAACACACACATTACAATACCCAATTGTTTGCTAAAATATAAACAATGAGGTTGCATCGAGTTAAAGAATAAGTTCACCTTTTGGACAAAAATAAATGCACATTTCTTTGCAGGTAAAAAAATTTTACATTTGATATTTTTGTCCAAAACGAGCCTAAAAAGCATTGCACCAGCAATCAGTGAATCACTGATGCCATGCAGGTCTCCTGCAGACCTGTCAGAATATCTGCTTGCCGTGCGGGATGTGTGGCTAAGCAGATATTTTGACAGAAAGCTTGAATGAACAACCACGCATTGAAAACTACAAGCCCACAGCCGCTAAGGCTGTCGGGACTTGCAGTTCGTTCATTCACAGAAGTCCATGAATGAATGACGTAGCTGTGTGGGCGGAGCTGTCTTCAAATCTGATAGATAGTATAGGGAGACTTCCCCCACGTATTATCTGTCAGATGAAGGGGGGAGGCAGGCATGGCTACAGCTATGGTAACATGTTACATATTCCACCCTAAAAACGGGTGGAACATGTAACATGTTCCCAAAGGTGAACTTATCCTTTAAGGCTGTAGATCTCAAACATGTCAAGTCTTAAAACTGTGGTGTGCCCCAATATTGTAAAAACTACGGTATCCAAAAATCTCCATAGGTGACGCTTTAAAAGCTTTTCAAGCTCATCAGTTGAGAGATTAATGTGAGCTCCAGTGTTAGAATTATTGCTCTCATTCTGACATTCATTGTGATACCTCACATGTGTGGTGCAATCATGATTTACATACAAACTGTCTCAAGCCAGTGAATGGACAGCGCTGAAACCAGAAGTGACAAAATCATTGTTGCTTCCAGTTATATTCTGGACAGAGCAGATCTAGGAAAGGATATTCCTCTGTCTCCTCCAGCCTGGCATTTTAAAACCCTCTGATTTGGTCCAGGGTTTCTGGTTAGAGAAGGAGAGACCAAGAAACAGAAGAGAGGGGGAAGCGGGTGGGCGAGGGAGTGCAGAATTGTGCCACTGGCACTGTGAAATTGATTGCTGGATCACTTTCACTTCACAGTCGGCTGAGGAAAATATTTTACAAACCCTAAATATGTAGTTTTTTTTGTGTACATGGGGTAGCCATCTTTGTTCAATACTTCATAAAACCTGCTCTTCTCCCGTTTGCAGTATTACACAATGGTTGTACTTTACTGCTACTTCTTACATTACAAGTCTATGATTTGGCTGACTAGTTAAAAACAATGTATTCCCCAGGTGACTGATATCTTATCTCATGTAGACCATATCATAAAGAAAATGTTGGGCATTTAACGGATGACCTGGCAGTACAGTATTCAAAATCCCAAGTTTTTATGAAAATTAGATTGGGATTTTGAGTACTATTCTGCCAGGTCATCAGTTAAACGCCCAACGTTCTTTGAGATTTGGACTACACTAGTTAACTCTGGGTGGATGACCGTTCAGTATCTTGGCTGGGTAAGCATATTAGGGATATTTCCCTCCCATCCACACACATTTTTTGGGAAACTAGTGATGTCTTATCTCAACAACTGTTAAAGTGGAAATAAACTCAAATTTTGTATATTTTACCAACAGATAAGCCTTTATTAAGGCTTACCTGTAGGTACTGTAAATATTTCCTAAACGTGCACCATTTAGGAGATATTTACTGTAGAGGCACCTGTGATGTCACTGGCACATGCACCCTGAACTCTCAATGGACAGCATGCTGTCCATTAAGAGACGCGCTGTGCCCAAACTCCTGTGCACATGCATGTGATTGACAACTTTGTGGCTCAATCAGTCAGATGGCCAAGGCCCACAAACCCGGAAGAAGACCGGGTGAAGATGGAAGTCACCAAATGGAGGGTAGGACATGGTACTGAAGGGTGGAACATGCTGGTAATGAAATGGTTAAAGTAGAAAGGAGTTGCATACAACTTTAACAACTACAGGAAAAGCACCACTGTTTGTTTGGAAGTTTATTTTTGAGGCTCTTGGCTATAAAAGCTTTTAATGCAGTTTATGGGTGAATGAGTATTCCTTTCAAATTCCTAAATAAATAGTAACACAAGAAGAGTAATACTAAAACAATGTCCTGGCTCTGTTCACAGTGCAGACTGTAAACCTCTGGGACACAGTTCTTGGCCCAAACTGTAAAGGATCTTCCTACTCACGTGACATCATCACATTTGAATTCATACTCTGTAATGAAGCGCGTGTGACAATCTATAAAAACAGATCATGCCTAGTAAACTAAATTAATATGAAAACCTCACGCAAATAATTAAACCCCTAAGTTTATGTTTTAAAGTGGAAAGAAGTCAGCTATTTAAATGTTAAAGTAACCTCACATAACTTAAATCAGAACTCTGGGTCAATACATCCTTGCTCTTTTTCTCCCCCCCCCCCCTCCCAGCACTTACACACATACTATATTCCCCAAGGTTCTTCTGGCTGGTCCAGCAACATCATGGGCCTTGATCTCCAGTTGGTGGTCCCTAATGTCGCACATTTGTAATAGTGCATGAGCGTCTTTCAGTGTCATAGTACTCTAACCCAGCCTGGTGTGATAACACACCCCAAAAGGTGTATCTGTGACAGCCTGGGCTCAGAGAAAGAGCAATGAATGACACCCAGCACAGAGGCAACATCTAGTGATAGAAAGAAAGTACTGCAGGGGACAGCTCCAGGTTGCAAGGGAGAATTGCAGCAAAAGATGCCTTTTTTACCATTTTTATTAGGGCTGGCCTCTGGATGTTTAATTTATAAATATAAGTTGTACTTGAAAATTACACCTCATTCTTTCTTGAATGTATGAAAAGGAAAAGAAGGCTTGAAAAATAACCTTTCCCTAGACCGTATGCTTTTTCAGGTTCAACTCCAGCGTTGGCTATGTGAGCAGTGCCTTTGGTGCCAATTTATTTTGGAATTGGACGCAAGACACTTTCTTGTATCCAGCCTATATATCTATAGTCT